CACATTATTGATATCTGTGGTACATTTATTGTAAATGTGAAATAAAAACTACAAGCAAAAAAAAAAAGCCTCACAAATTATATTTGCGTGTGTAACAAAAATAATCTGCAACAACCAGATTACTCAGATTATATGATGTGTTGGCCGTCTCATAAGTAATTGAGTCTGTTGATGTTTGGTCACAATCTGTAAGAAGTTTGACGTGCATCGTTTTAGACTCGTGCCGAGCAACTTCTGCAGTTTATGAGTTTAAAACACCTGCAAGAACAGTTTAAGTTTTTATACAAGTGTACACACAGAATAAGTTTCTGGACAATCTAAGCATTAAACATGTTTTTATTCTTTGTTAACTATTACACAGAATAATAAATAAAATAATAAATAATAATAATAATAATAATAAAATAATAAAAATAAAAAGAATAATAATAAAAAGAGGGACTGCGATGAGGTAGAGGTAGGGCAGCCGACTGGGGACCAGAAAGCCTTGGTTCAACTCCAAGCCATACCCACATGCCGTGGTGTCTCTGAGCAAGACACTCAATAACTGCTCGCTGGGCGCTCAGTAGCTGCCCACTGCTCCACCTGGGTGCCTCCCAGGTGCAATGGGTTAAATGCAGAGAACTAATTTCGTCATTGTATGGGAACATAATGATGACAACACACAGCACTTACTTAATACACTATCTGCAGAAACTGTTTTAACTTTTAACACCAGTTGCCATCTGTAGCAACTTTTTCTACCTTTAGCAAATGGCTGCTTGCCCTTAGCCTGGGTTCTGTTAATGTTTCTTACTCATGAGGGAGTTTTTCCTTTCCACTGTTGCCTTCATGCTTTCTCTAGATGAGAGTTCTGCGATGGAGTTAAACTCAAAGCAGTCTGCTAATGTCAAATTATTATTTTTATATCTGTTCAGTGGCCGGAGACGACTTCTGTTGTACAAAGTAACTTGGCGCTTTGAATTGAGCTTAGATTATTTTTAGCGTCTGTCACATTTATCATGAGTTGCTACTTCTAGAAGATTATCATTAGTATCTTGCAATTTTTAGCTTCTCATGCTATTTTTTTTTAAAATGTTGTAGTATTATGGATGTATATCTTAGTCTTTACACATGCATCCATCCATCTATTACTTTTACCCACTTCTTCCATTCCGGGTCAGTGGGAGTCACTGGTGCCCATATGCAGCAGTCACTGTGCGAGAGGCGAGGGACATCCTGGACAGGTCTCCAGTCCATCACAGGGCCACAGAGACAAACAAAACAAACAACCATTCATTCCCTCACTGACACCTAGGGACAATTTAGAATTACCAATCAGCCTAACATGCATGTTTTTGGTCTGTGGGAGGAAACCGGAGTACCCGGAGAAAACCCGCGCATGCACAGAGAGAACATGCAAGCTCCACTTAGAAAAGATCCAGACTGGGAATTGATGCGACGACCTTCTTGCCGAGTGGCGGCAGCTCAACCAACTGCACCATGGTGCCCATTAAATGCAATTTTTATCATCTGATGCCATCTTTAGCATCAGTTACTACTAGCAAGTATTCTGTCACCAGGAAGATGTTAATAAGCTGCAGTACAGGATGAGATTCTTCTGTCTTTGAGTGGCTGAAGGTGGTGAAACATTAAACATATTTACTGAAATGTGTAGAATAGGATTAGGGCAATTTTTGTCTTCCTAATCCTTTTCCGTAGAAATTACATTGACTATGTGACTAATAAAACCTTTAGAAGCAAAACTTTGCAGGTTAAAACAAATGATGGCTCAGATATTTAGCTAGTGATCAATACTCAAAGGACAAAAAGAGCACAATTAATTTGTGAACCATCTTAAACTTGTAAGACAATATTGAGAGCAAAAACAGTTAAAGGTCTATATACAGTAATATCACGTTTCCTGGCAGCTTTGAAGAGTTAAAATAAGATCATATTGTCCGTTGAAATATAACCGAGTTATGCACATTTTGGTCAAAAGATGAAAGTAATCAGCTGCTGGCATTTAAAGTGTGGATACTTAATTAAAATCCACCCAGTGGTTCATGAGATATTTTGCTAATAGTGTTGAATAACAGTTAAAGTTGTTCAAAACAAGTTCACGTGATGTGCTAGTTCCGAGTATGTGTTGGGGTCTTGTCCACGACTTCACCTGATTTTAGCTCAATATATGAAAAACTTGAGTTATATTCACTTTTGTGTTGGCTCAGTTTAATTATTAGCTGCAGCAGACATCTTGAATTGGGTTGACTTCACAAGATTATCAGTTGTAGCTGTGGATCTAAACTGGTGCTGCAGCGTCACCCTGTGGGGGACTAATGTAAATGTCCAAAATACATCTGCTCCTTAAAGGAACACTGGTTGTTTTCAGGACTCCCTTCGGTTTTCAGACAGAAAACATGCTTTTTTTTTTTAAAGCATCATAATTGAGACACAGAGCAGACTAACTGGAACCGATTTTGTTTCTACATGCAGTAGAAATAGTCTAAATCACACTCATTCCATAAATATATGGACTTTAAACTATGGCTCAGTATAAAGGACCAGCCAGGAAGTGATGCAACAAAATCATTTTATTTTCAACACTTATTTTTAAAATTGTTCACACGCTCCCGACTTTGAGAAGATGGCTGATTGGTCGGCGGCTCTACGCGTAGCTTCCAGCCTGAAACAGTTTGATGACGACGGCTTCGTGGGGCTGCAGGGTCATGGAGTACAGAGACGTCATGCCCAGGCGGTTCATCCCCGTGCTGGCAACAAACATCCCCTTTTCAGGCAGACTCTGGGTCCAAGCAGAGTCCAGAGGGTGAGGCTCGGGTCCGAGGTTGAGCAGAACGAGGAAATGAACGCAGCCCCAGGAGCGCAGGAAGGCCAGGACGAGAGGAGAAGAAGCGTTGGAGGAGGTGTTGAAGGAGAGGAAGGTGAAGTTGCCATACAGAAGAGCTTCTTCTCTGTTCTTTGAGCGGCTCAGAGTGGTGAAGAGCGTGACGGCTGAACGGTGCGTCCTCTCGTCCTGAAGATGGGAGTGTCAGGGAACACGGGAGCGTTAAATACCACTAGAAGAAAACTGCATGTTTACAAAACTGAAATGTGGTGAAAAATGTGAAACTAAACTTGTTAAGCTGCAGAACAGAAGGCTAAATTAGCTTCTTTTTTTTTTTTTTTAAAGTGGAATTAAAAAAAAAAAAAAGTATGTTGAAGCAGATTTTGAAGAAAATGTTTTTGAAGGAATTAAAAGCTCTTAATGTATATAAGGATTTTCGATTGAGCTGAACAGTTTGAAATGTGAAAGGTTTAAAGACAAAATGCATCATGTGGATGTAGTTTAAGTCCAAATAAAGAATAAGCTGAATCAGCGCTCACACAACCAAACCAGAGCGTCTCGTTTGGTTGAAATAATAAACAAGCCTGAACCGTTCTACAGCATTAGCTGGCTGTGTGATGCGTTCGAGGCTCAAAATCTCGTACAGTCGACCCCTATCGGACGCCTGCCAAGCTTCTGATTTCTGGACATCAACCTTTTTTCTGTAACCCCACCTCTGAGTATTAGTATAGTAATGAATCCTTGTTGGTTCTGACTAACCCACTGAGTTCTGGATGGATCCAAACTAAATCAACAATCCCACTCAGGACTCTGCTCTCACAGTGATGTCACTACTCTCCATCCATCCCAATCCTCTACTGGAAGAAGTGAGCTTAACCATAGGATCATGTCCCCCAATCTAAGCTCTGAAACGTGATTTATTTTTTATTTTTTTTGGAACTCTTCAAGCTCCCAGTCCTTCCACAGCCATCAACTCGTCCTCTTCCTCTTCAGAGCGTTTCCACAGACGTCTGCTGACTTCCACCAGCCTTTTCAAAATAAAACTTATTGAACATGTTGTGTCTGGTTCAATTTTCAGGGTCTCCACTAAATTCATTACAGGGAAAGGTTTGTAGGAGTGATGGATGGATGGATGGATGGATGGAGTGATGGATGGATGTAATAGAACTAATATAATGTCACCATTTTGCAGATTTTCACCTATCGCAGGAGTCTCTGGAATATAATCCCTGCAATAAGTGAAGGCTTTTGGAATGTTGACTCCCAGGCAGGGGCAGCACGGTGGTGCAGTTGGTAGAGCTGCTACCTCTCAGTGAGCAGGTCGCCCCGGTTCAAATCCCGGCCAGGGGCCTTGCTGGGTGGAGTTTGCATGTTCTCTCCGTACATGCGTGGGTTTTCTCCAGGTACTCCAGTTTCCTCCCACAGACCAAAAACATGCATGTTAGGCTGATTGGTAACTCTAAATTGTCTCTAGGTGTGAGTGAGAGACTGAATGGTTGTTTGTCTCATTTGTCTCTGCGTGTCCCTGTGATGGACTGGAGACCTGTCCAGGGTGTACCCCGCCTCTCAAACAGTGATTGCTGAACATGGACACCAGTGACCCGAAAAGGAAGAAGCGGGTAAAAGATAATGGATGGATGGATGGATGGATGGATGGATGGATGGACTCCCAGCCAAGACTTCACCTGTGTTTGTTCAGTCGTCTCCTGAGACTGGAAAGCAGGTGATCCTGGAAGAGTCATCACCAGCACCAGCAGTATCTGCTGCAGATCCTGAGATGCTTCTCCTTCAACCTGCCAGAAACACTGCAGGTGACCTGACAAATCTTCACACCTTCCTGACAGAAACTGCTGTTAGCAGAACGAGTCTTACGCTCCAGCTCGGCCATGCAGCTTCCCGTTTGAGTTGCACCCGCGTCTCTAGAGCCTCGGCTACTTCTGCAGCCGACAGGAGGTGACGAGACTTTGGTAAGACGGCCCTCATGACCACATTAATGAGCGTGATGTTGCCGTAGGTCGAGACGTTTAGTGGATGCAGAACGTCTGTAGTCTGCTTTACCACCAAAATCCTGAAGAGACATGGGCAGGAACAATTTGTCAGCATTTTACCAGATTAAAGCAAAAGTTTGGTTTTATTTGGAAATAACTTGCACCTTTCGTTATGATAAGGGCTGAATTCATCAAGGACACCTCTCCACTCCAGCAGAGTCTGAAATTTATGTTTTTTTTAATAAAAGGTGAAAATTTAGCAAACGGGAAATACTTTAAGTAAATTAAACTTTTGTGTACATAATTAATATTTACCTCTACTGAATAAACTGCATCTGTATCACAGATTACAAAACCTGCTACGCCTTGCTCCAACCAGAACCGCAAAGCATGCTGGGAAAATAAATAAATAAACTGAATCAACAACTCAGTCTCAGTTTTAACGGCTTTTTACCAGAAAGAGTTTTACCTTTTCTGCAGCAGAATGGTTTGAGTTTCCTGTTTCTTCCTGAAGTTCAGACAAATTTACATTACAGAGGTCCAACACCACCCTGAGATCTGAAAGTCCAAATTACTGTTAATCCAAGAAAAATCCAGACGTAGAGCATTTAACAAAGGAGCGCTGTCCTCACCTAACTCCTTACACTCTGTGAGCAGATGCTGGATCTGAGCCAGAGCTTCCAGGTTTTCACTGGGGGTAGTGGCATTTTCCACTGGTGGTTTTTTATGAAACACCTCCTCCAGGATTACAGCTCCGATGCCCACAGACCTGAGGTGGGGCAGGCGCTTGCACGCCGCTTATGAGAAAAACAAAGTCACTAAACTTTAATCAGAAGGTAACGAGCTCTGCTTGCACAACTATTCTTTTTGTTAACAGTCACTTCTTAGTAAACTGTCTACATTTTATTTTTTCACAATTAATGTTTTGAGTGGCATTTTAAAAAAGTAATCTTTAATGCATCACGTCATTTACCCTGTGCCGCTTAAAGTTTTTTTTGTTTTTTTTTCTAATGTGCCAATGCACATTTATCTAGTGCATTTGTTCAAGAGTTGCTCTTATTGTGTGAATGTTTATGAAGCGTTCACACTATTGTGATCCATTTTTCTTATGCATATTTTTCAGCAGCTTTCTCGTTCCACAATTTGTGCCATTTCAATAATCATCGAAACATTCAACTCATTCAGGAGAAGGGTGCTCTGACTTATGGTATTGGTGCAACTTTAACTTTTTTATAAATATATATATATACTTTTCTAACACTTTTGTCTCTCGGGAAATGAACTGAGCTCATTTTACATCCTTCAGTTCTTTAGATCTGTTTACAACCTTTTTTTGCTCCTTTCACATTTAATCCCAGTTCAGCTTCTTTCAGCTTCCTTGTGTAAATTTAAACTTTTCCAGCTACTTTAAGTTCAGCTGTTTGCGATCCTTTTAGATTCTGCCAACTACAACATTTTTGTGCTTTTTCTAACTTCTTTCTACTAATTTCATTTTATTGTGCTCTTTTCAGCTTATTTATGCACATTTCAGCTTTTTCTACTATTTCAGCTATTATTTAGCAGTTTTTATGCTAATTTTATTCATGCCTTTTTGGCTAATTCCACATTTTGTACTCATTTCAACTTTTTTCAACCTAACATAATTCAGCAAAAATGTGCTCTCCACTTCTGATAATTTTGACTTTTTTCAGCTTTTTTAAATTACTTTCAAGCTGTTTATTGCCAATTTCAGCTTTTTTTCCCAGATAATTTCCGCATTTTTGTGCTCAATTCTGCTTCTTTAAGGCCAATTCGGCAAACAAGTTATTTTTGCCTTCTTGCGCTAATTAAAACTCATTCTATGTTTTCAGCTTCTTTTAATCATTTTTAGCTCATTTCAGCCGTTTTTAGATCAATTCAAGTTTTTCGTGGTAATTTCTGCTACTTTCAGCCTCTCTCTCTTCTATAATAAAGCTCTTTATGTTCCTTTCAGCTTTTTTCTGCTAGTTTCAGCTTTTTCTGCTATTTCAGCTACTTTTAGCCGTTCTGTGATAAATTTAGCCTTTTCAGCTAATTCCACATTTTTTGAGCCCTTAGCTCTTTCAACTTCCTTCTGGTAGTGTAAGCTTCTTTCTACCTTTACAGTTAATTAGCTTCTTTTTGTTGTTGTTGCTAATTTCAGCTTATTTAGCTAATTTCCTAATTTTTGTGCTCATTTAAACTTAATTCAGCAAATATGAGTTCTTTCTGCTTTCTTCTGCTAACTTAGGCTTGTTCTTCCATTTCAGCACGTTTATACCTAATTTCAGCAGGTTCTTCAGCAATTAGAATTCACACTGCATTTTCACAGAAAATGCAGTTTCTCTAGCCATTTAGTGCATTTGTTCAAGAGTTGCTCTAATACTTATTAGATTAATATCGTCTGTGCTGCCAATAAACTGTAATTCAGTCAAGGACTTGCCTATTCAGTTCTGACGTTTTTAGTATTAGAAAATAAAAAACTGAGTTCACCGAGTCCTAGCATGAAGTAAATTCTGTCCTTGGATGAACAGTATGAAAATGACTCGTGCTGGCAACGTGCGTCTGAGCGCAGTCTGCAGTGCAACATAAGTGAAAATCTTTCTGCTCTGCCTTGCCATCATAGTTTTGTTTTTTTTAACCAGTAAGTCTTTCGAAATAACAATTCTTTGTCTTAAAACCCTTATAATTTCCATTTTCTCTGCCAGGAAATCCCTTCATATAAGATTTGGTATAATTGGTGAAGTTTGTGGATTCCCATTTAAATATATGGCTGGAATTCACAATGCCATCATTCAAGAACTCTCAATGTTGCTGCCAAGAGAGAAATCACCAGATTTTAACTAACTACCCACCATTTTGATGCTTGTAAGAATTAGAAAATAATTAACTGTGGAAAAACAAACGGGTCATAAACTTGTTCCCCTTTATTTAAAAGCATAGAAGCAACGAGGAGGAAACTCCACCTTTAGCAGCATTATCTTGAAGTAATCATCTCCTGTGTGGGTTTATCTCTTGTATCACTTTGAAAGGGGATTTTGGCCCCTCTCTTCTACAGTCATGGCTTCTGACCAGTGAGGTTTAAGATTCAATAGCAGGACTTTGACAGGACCAAGGTCTGGACTTTGACTGTCATCACAAACATCTGGATTGTTTTCTAATCTGGGTGTTGTGGATTTGCTGCCATGTTTGGAGATTATTGTCAAGTCTTGTGATTCATAAACATGTCCAAATCATTCACAGTAATGATCAAAAGTTAATGTTTTTTTAAGACAACTTCTACACCTTTTACTGGTTTGTGCAAAAGAGCCAGCTCCAGAAACTATGATACGGTTTTCACGTTTCTTTTGTAAACTGAAGCCTGTTTTTTTATTTATTTATTTTTTTACTTGACACATTCACGAATTATGCTTATAACTTTTTTGTGTGTGCGAAAAATTAGTCAGCAAGTTGCGTTTCAGTTTGGCTTTTGTTTGAAAAGTGCGACACAAATAAAGTTTAATTGAATCGAACGTTCATTTTTTTTTCCCTCACTCACCATTGATGACCTCTGACCTCTCGGCCTCCGTACCCACGTCCGGCTCTGCCCGGAGACGGTAAAACAGGCATTTCTGCCACCACTTGAGACACGTCGGAACCGGCCGCGGACTCATCACGACGATGGTGAGCGCGACAGCGAGCAAGGACACCCAGGAGATCCAGAACAGCAGCACCAGGGACTGGCGGATCTTCCTCCAGCCGGGACCTCCCGCCGCGGCCCGCAGCTCCTGCTGGTCCAGGGGCCGCCACGCGTAGACTGGCTCCGAGGGCAGCAGAGGCGTCGTCTCCGAGGCTTCCTCGCCGTTGGACAGCCCGGCGGCTCCCGACACCGGGCCGTAGCAGGAGTCCTTCACGTTCAGAGGCATGTCGGCCGGCGGCTACAGGTAGGCAAACCACAGCGTCACCTGGTTCCCACAGGTGTTTCCATCTGTTAAATCAACCGCCGTGGCAGCATGATGATCACGTGACTCACAGAACGTCCCCTGTATGTTAAAACTTCAGGGGCGCGACCAAGTGGGGGCACTGGTCCTATCTTAAATAATGGTTCCCCACCCGCAGCCTATGACGGAGCTTTAGGGCCACGCTAAGAAAAAGAATAAAAAATTAAGTCATACAATTACGAGAAGTCATAGTATTACGAGAATAAAGTCGAATAAAGTCTTAATATTACGAGAATAAAGTCATACAAGACTTTTTTTTTTTTAAACAGGTGTCCATATTTATTTATTTATTTTTGAGTTGGATCCACGACTCGATCTGTCAATCAATCCAGTAGGCGTATCAGCAAATATATTCGTAATATTATCCGAACTCCGACACGATAAAGCAGGGTTTACCGCATTTTAACTTTGGTAAAATGAAGAATGTTTGTTAAACTTTTTTGTTATTGACGCTTACTCAAAACGTGTTTCAATACTGCCGCCTGCTGTTGTGTTTTTTTTTGTGTGCGTTTGTTTCTTTTTTCATTTAATGTGTTTGTCTTTTTTATATATGTATTTCTCAATTTTCATAATGTTGTAAACCCCCCCCCCCCCAGCTTGTAAACTGTAGTTATGACACCCTTCACGTGCTTTCTATTTTGTAGTGTTCTGTAGTTCTGTGTGTTCATTAATTTAAAAAAAATAAAGTATGCTGCTTCTGGGATGCAAATATGTGACGTCATTACGTAACGACTTTTTTGTTTTTGTTTGAAAACGGAGCTCGGTGAGAGAAACTGTGTAATCTGTTAGCATCAGATTATTATCAATATCAGGACTTTGAACCTGCTTACAGTAAGGTGGTACGCTCCAGCTCTGCAGGTGAGGAGCATTTAGCTTCGGATTGGTCATTTGCTGACACGCCTACTGGATTGATTGACAGGTTGATTCGTAAAGACAGCTGTAAACAAAAAGTCTCGTACGACTTTATTCTTGCAATTTTATGGCTTTAAAAACAAATTCTTAGCATGGCAATGTAATTTTATTTAATTTATTTTGTGTGTGACCCTAAAGCTCCGTCGTACGCCCAGACTTTTGCTTGGTGTGTATTTTTAATTTCCCCATAATAAGGATTAATAACATCGTAACACTAAAAACAAGCAATATGTTTGAGCAATTAGGAATTAAAAATATAAATATGAATCTTATCTAAAAAAAAAAAAAAACAATGAAAACTTCTAGTCTCCCGAATAAGGAAAAGTGATCTAAAATTAAATTACCTCATTGTTATGATACAAAATTTCAGAAGTTATATTCATAATATTTTTATATACCGGTATTTTTTTTAATATGCATTTAGCTTTTTGTGACTTTATTCCCAGTTTTAGATATTTTTAAAACTCCTTTTTTGTTCACAAAAGAACAACAACAAAATAAAATAAACATGCTTATCCATCCATCCATTATCTTTACCCACTTCTTCCATTTTGGGCCACGGGGGTCGCCGGTGCCCATGTCCAGCAATCACTGTGCGAGGGGCGGGGTACACCCTGGACAGGTCACAAATCCATCACAGGGACACATAGAGACAAACGAGACAAACAACCATTCACTCTCTCACTCACACCTAGAGACAATTTAGAGTTACCAATCAGTCTAACATGCATGTTTTTGGTCTGTGGGAGAAAACCGGAGTACCCGGAGAAAACCCACGTATGCACGGAGAGAACATACAAACTCCACCCAGAAAGACCCCCAGTCCAACCGGGGATTGAACCCATGACCTTCTTGCTGTGAGGCAACAGTGCTACCACAGTAGGCATAAAAACAGTCTATCTGTGGTCCAGACACATACATTTACAGAGTAACACGCAGTTGTTTGTCCGATAAGACGGCAACAAACAAACTGTTGTGCGAATGTAGTTCTTTGTCACTGTTGATATGAGTTGTGTGGGCCTAAACAATAATGAGATTGAGGCTAGCCATTCCTAACTTGTATATTTGCCTCTTTTTCCACCTTCAGTGCTTTAGGACTTATGTAACATCTGATAAGGAACAATATAATGCGGATTTTTAAGTAGACCCACACCAGCTCAGCGCCTCTCACCATGGACAACTTGAGAGTGGAATAATGACATGACATGGGCTGTCTGGTTCTCAAAATGGCAGACAGTGATGTGAGCTCTTTAGCACAGCATGTTTTAGCACAAAACTTTTAATAAAAAATCAGTAAACAAGTTCTCAGCATTGTTTTGCAGAGAAAAACAACTTTTTACACAAAGTCACGGGTTGCATCTGTGAATTTTGGAGCTCGACCAGATGATTTATGCCCGAGGTCGGCCTGTTAGCTTAGCTCGTAGCTTAGCTTTTCAGCTTAGCTGCTTTTAACGATCCAAAAACGCGATTTTGGATCGTTAAAACTGATGTTAAAGAGAAATGGAGGGGTCAGTGAAGAACACCAGCGTTGAGCTGTGTCTTCAGTAGAAAGAGAGACATGAAAAAACGACAAAGCCGGTAAATGAAAACGAGGTCGATAATTTTCATATTATTATGCGATTTAACTGATTTATTGTTTATCTTAGCAGGCCTATGGATGGATGGAAGAATAGGCTTGTATTATTATTTTTTGTTGTTGTTGTTGTTGTTGATTACCATCACTTTTCTGATCACATTTAATACTCACAGAGCTCAAAGATTCTTAAAGTTGTTTTTGTGTGTCAAAGCAGACGCACAGAAGAGTATCTGGAAAATATTTAAATTACTTCTTAATTTATAGGGACTTTACAGGAGAGCACAATAAGGTTTAATTTTACTTCAAAAAAAGAAACACTGATGTGCGTTGCATCTGTCGTGACTAAAACAATCGTCAAACTCTTCATTTACAACAGCACTAGTTCATTCAGCGTTCGTTACTTTGAAAACAGCCTCTTCTTTCACCAGAACGCTGTGAAATGTTCCGAAAAATGTCGGCACCAACTCGACACATCTGGCAAGTTCAGGTTCAAAAACATGACCTTCACGATGATGTGACGCAACGCGAGCGCCACATCTCTGAACAACGCACAAACTCAGGCAGTACTCACGTTCTCTCTGTCCAAAAGACCCTCGTTTCTTCTTCTTGTAATTGCGTTTCGTGTTTTTCTCGTTTCGTCTTTCTGGTTATCGACGTGAAGCGTTTGCAGCTGAGCGCGGCCGTCTGAGTTGTTCGTTTGAGGGATCTGACATGTCAGGATGTTAGAAGGACATGGGGGGGAGCGGTCTCGGTCAATTATTACAGAGGTGCAGAGCCTCACCACACCACTGCAACACATTCTGCAGAGCCCATGACTGCTAAACATAGATTCACAAAGACTTTCAGGATTGGCTCGCAAGTAGAACATTTTGTTTTGTTTGTTATACGTAACTCGTCATCTATTGCTACGATCTCTTCTCCATCTCTTTAGTGTTCTGTTTTGCAGTTTTTACACGTTGTCCGACTGTGTGACTGTTTTTAAAATTAAGTTCAAAAGCCGTGATATTTGGTAAAAATATGGGATTTTTCAGTGTTTTTAATCGTTTTTTTTCCTCCCCAACACAATTTCTACACGTTTGAATGATCGTTTGTTGTTTATTCAAACTCATGGGGATGTTCAGAATATGTCAGTACAGCTCGTTTACATACGATCCAGCTTTTACTTTAAAGTTCGCCACAGCCTAATCTCCTCCTCCTCCAGAATGACTCTGCTTCAGTCAAGATCTTCACAGCTTTTAGTTGTTTCTTTTAAGAAGAAGAGAAGAATTTTACCTTTTTTCCTTTAGGACCTGATGTCTCTGATCCCATCATTCTCCCTCTGACTCTGTTTACATCAGGGGATACTTTTAACCGACTCGATATTCGTCATGCATCAAGTCAGTCCAAAGTTTGCCTGTCAATGTTCAAATGTAAACAAAGGACTCGTAATTGTTGGCAACAAAATGTATCTGCTGCTTTAACTCATTTATTTCAAATTATGCAGTAGATCTTTGGTAGGTAATGTGTAATTAGTGGTTATTATTTTATCGTAGATGATATAAATGTACAAAAAAAAATCAAAGGTGCTTGTTTTTGTCTGTATTTTTCAGCTTCTAAGATGAACTGATTTCTTAGGTCAGGTTTTCTTTTTCTTATACTTTGATGTTTTATTTCATTATTTATTTTTTCAAATAGTTTAATTAACTAGAATTCAGAGAAGTCACATTTAACCTAGAATTTTAATGATTTTAGATTATTGTACAAAGTCACTAATCTATGATTATTTTGAGATTGCATTGTAACTAGTACAATATTTTTATTTTTAATATGAAACCACAGTTTGTTTTGTGCAAATTTGTTGTTCAACTCCACCCTTCTCTTCTTCCTCCATCTGCCTCCCGTGTGCTTCTTCTTTTTGTGTTTCTGCTTTTCGTCTCTTGCGCTGTGTGCTGATGTGATTTCAATAACTCTCCCCCAACCTTATCAGCTTTGCTCCCTGACATTGTGTAAAGTAATTATTTGCTGAGATAAACAGCATTCTCTAAAAAGACTGTGTCATCACAGATTAAAATGTATGAAAAATGCTTGGTCACTTGCATGCTTGAGGTCATCATCCAGTTGTACAAGTTGTCCCCTCCACACATTTAGTGTTTGTTAGAGTGATCTTTGCTCGCAAAGCGTTTTCTTTTTAAAGTCTTTTTTTCCACTGGTTACAAATACACACAGATCCGTCCACCCGCATGGCAGTTCTTTAAAAGTAGAGCCCCAACCGATATATCGGTAAGGCCGATACTTTGGGCCAATACAGGCGTTAAGGGACATATTTGTGATAATGGTTCCATTATGCGCCGATACAAAACACTTCTAATTTTCACCCCTAAAAGGCTGGGCAAGTAGGTATCTCTGCAGACTAATTCGGAAGGCGTATCTGGAAGGCCACATCTGATTGGACAATAAAACAACGGGCGTATCTGGAGGGTCGCACATGATTGGACGATGGGAAAATGGGCGTATCCCGAGGGCCTTATCTGATTGGACGAAGAAAAAAAAAACGGCTGAACAAAAGAAAACGTTGGTTACGTACTGTAACCCCAGATTCTATGAATATAGGCGTAGCCCTTTAAGGCTGTCGCTGATGGGTTTATCCCATTATGCAGAGCATAAGCACTGAAAAAATTTAGTCCACGCCCACCTGCTGTGTGGGCCCCACCCGGTCCGTATAAATTACGTTAAGAGCGGGAAATCGGCTCCCAAAATAGCTTTTTTCTTCAGCCATTTAGGAGCCAGTGAGGCCCGACGCTTAAAGGGCTACGCCTATATTCATAGAATCTGGGGTTACAGTACGTAACCAACGTTCTATTTCATATAGGCTTCGCCCTTTAAGGCTGTCGCTGATGGGTTAAGGGCGAAGCGGATGTGGTCCTCGCCTCACTGGGTCCATTCGAACACAGTAAGAAGCGGAAGCTTGCCCAAAAAACGTCTTGTCACTCAGCTCCCCATGTGCATAACTACGCATCGCGTAATTATGTGCCATGCACAGACGCATGTTGAGTAACTATGCGTTCTGACAAAGCATGAATGCCCCGGAAAACTTTCAACGGGAAGAAGAAGTTGAAAAGAGGGGGGGGGGGGCATGAACCAACTGGTTCATGGCTGAACAGTATAAACAGATTAATGTCCATGAATTGATTATTGATCAAATGAACCGATTGGTAACAATAGTCATGAACTGATTAGTGACAATAAAACCAAAATCACAGACACGACTTGTGACTGATAACAACATCTCACACTGTAATGCATGCAGACAGAAGTGAGCTTAAACAGAGTTCCATGAGAACAATAATATTCATTCTGTTAGAGCACTAAGGACAGAATGTGTCATGGAACGAGCCGTTACATCACATAGGTAAAAGCGAATAAATGAGCAGGGTGTTGACCATGCAGCCGCAGTGCAAATGTCCTGCATTGACATACCATTATGCAGAGCAGTCGAAGATGCGATACCCCTGGTGGAGTGTGCTTAGAGGTTGACAGGAGGCCCTAATCTGATGCTCTGTAGGCTTCAGAAAAGGCCTCACACAGCCAGTGTGACAAGCGCTGGATGGATAACGGCGACCTGCAGATGCATCTCTATAATGCACAAACAATTGTTGAGTTTGAAACGCATTACAGCTGTGCGCGTTATGTAACACGTCAACGCCCGCACCGGGCAGAGAAGATGAAAAGATGCTTCCTCTTCTGATCTGTGGGGGGGAAAAGACCCCTCCAACGATATCACTCTTGATTTAAAAGAGCTTGTGATGTTTTAGGCATAAAAGCTGGGTTGGTCTTAAATCAGCTGAGCTGCCCGTCAGCCTAAATTCTAAGGCATGACGAAGCAACAGAGAGGGCAGATAATTACTTATCCTCTTAGCGGGTGTTAAAACCAGCAGCAGGGTTGTTTAAAGAGACAAGAATTTAATGAAACCTGATCCAGAGGCTCAATTGGAGCTTTGATCAGGGCTCGCAGGACCAGCGTTAAATCCCACTGTGGAGCAAGTGGACGTGAAGCAGGCCTGTGTCTCTGAACATCTTTTAGAAAAACGCTTATCAGCGGGTGATTAAAAGCTGTTCTGTCTCCGAAACCTTCGTGGCAGGAATAGATGACTGCAACGTACGTTAAAGCGTACTGAAAACCAACTCCCTATCCATCAGCTGTTGTAGAAAAACAACACGCCGCCTAAAAGGCATGAGGTGGCCTCTAAACCTTCTCTGTACACCAGCGCTGAAAAGCCATCCCCTTTGATGTGTACAGAACTGTGGTAGATGCAGCACGTGAATCTTGAATTGTGCACACTATCTCCTGAGGGAGACCCATCCTCTAAGTGGGACCGCTCAGCGGTCAGACCCACAGGTGTTGACCTATTCCTGGTTAACTCTTGGTCGCTCCTCCTGCCTGAAGGAGAGCATCCTCCCTCCACGACAGTTCCACGGCGACCCGACAACAGACGTTGCAGGCCTGGGAACCATGGTGCGTTCACACGCCGGGAGCCACCAGGAGAGCTGTCAATCCCTCCTCCTGAACTCGGTTCAGGAACCGTAAAAAACAAAGGAGGTGGGGGAAAAGAAACGCGTATAAAAGCGTTTTGGGCCACCGGCTGTGAGCAAATGCGTCCCCCCCAGCGATGGTCGTCTCGCGGGCTCAGGGAAAACCATAGTTGACACTGAGCGTTCTTCTCGCGTCGCAAACAGGTCCACAGCTGTTTTGCCAACTTCTGCTGCGTCTGAAAAACATCAGGTCTGGATGGAGGGTCCGGTCCACGTGACGTGGGCCGCCCCTGGACGTCACATCTGCCCCTCTGTTCAGAACACCGGATATGTAAACCGCTCTAATAAAGAGCAGGTTTTGATTAACCCAACACAGTAGCTTTCGCACAATGTGTAACATCTGGGCTGAACGCACACCCTTGATGGTTATGTACGCAGCAGTCATCATGTTGTCTGTGTGAATCAACACGTGTTGATTCTGTAGCACGGGAGCAAAGTGTTGAATCACATTCAGTACTGTGCGACACTCCAAAACATTGATGTGGGCTGATGTGTAGTGGGGCCACAGCGCCCCTACTGCTTGAGATAGGCATGTCCCCCCCCCCCCCCCCCCCCCCCCAGCAACGTGTCCGCGAAGACTGACCCGTGACGTGGGTCTGCTGAGGGGGACTCCCTCTGACAGAAAACAAGGCGTTTCCCCAGAGTCGGAGGTCTGCTTCCACAGAGGAAGGGACAATAATCATCCGTCGTTTGTTTTACTGGATCCACATGCAGACGTGCAAAACACCTCAGGAGGCGTCTCATGTGAAACAAACCAGTGGAAAACACTGTGTGAGTGACATCATTTCCAACAGCTTCATGATGGAGACAGCTGTTATAACTTGCCAGGTCTTACGTGGCTGAGTTGACTTTTTAAAAAGTGTCGAATCTAGTTTGTGATAAAAGAGTTTTCATGGTGGTTGAATTTAATTCCACTCCCAGAAACAAATGTCTGGGCCGGAAAAATCGAGCTTCCTTCCAATTTATGGCGAAGCCCAGATTTAACAGGTGTGATGTCAACACCTGATCCTGCATCAGCGCCTCCTGTCTGAATTGACAGGAGCAGCAGATCATCCAGGTAAAACAAAAACTCTCGTCTCTGTGTTAGGATGATCGGTATGCGTTCTCTGGATGTTAAACAACAGATCCAAGAACGGTCTCACCCCTCCGATCCGTGAGTAAAAACCTTGTGTTTTCTCTCCCTTGGGGAACTCTGTAGATTACTTTTATCAGAAAACACTTGGATTTCTGCATTTAGGGATGAGATTTAGTCTGATGATGACGGGGCCGTTTTTTATAACTCCTCTGAATGGAGGGGTTCGGGTTGCAAACTGTAACTTGTACCATTTGCATAAAAACCTTGTCCATCCATCTGAAAAACGGCGAGCATGTTTTAGCCACTCTACGTAACGTTCGTAGGGTGAACGTGCGTTAAGTGATGTGTCATGTTTTGTACGGCTGTCAGCCGTCCGCCCCTCAACCGCCGTCATGCGTCGCGGGAATGTTTTCTGTGTGATCCCGGGCGAGACTTGTGCTGAGGCGAAGCGTGTGACAGCTGATGACGCGGTGGGGCTGCGCGTTTGACGTCGCTGTGCGAACGTTGAAAAGGTGGAGGGCGTGACTTCGTTTACGCCGTGCTGTTGGAGTGAAGGCTGCTAGCCCCGCGGGAGCACCCGTTGTCTCTGGAGGGACGAGCGCCGCTCTCGCTGGAGGGGCGCGCGCTGGAGGGAGGCGGGACTCATTACCGGGTTCTTCAGCTGCTTCACGTTTCTTGTGAGAGAGAAGGGCCCCCACCCGAACCAGCCTGCGGACCACATTTATACCGATGTGAGCTGGTTAGCGCCGGCAG